AGGGGATTAATCGTCAAATTAATCGTTATCGGCTAAATACCACAATTAATCGTGATTACTTTTATTGCCAATATCGCCCAACCCTACTAACCTCAAGTCACGCTGTTTAAATCTGTAGCTCCGTGTGTTTACAGCTCCAAAACACAAGTCCAGTTGCTTCATCTTTTTACTTTTCATTTTCCACGTAGATAGTTTGATAATAACATGTCCAGCCTGGGTCGCGGAGAGTATCGATCCTAAAGTTAGCTACTTGGTCGATACTTTTTTCCAGCTCGTAGTTTCGTTCAAAAGAAAAAAAAAAGCTTCACTGGAGCATCCCGGTCAGAGGCAGCTTCAGATATAAACACTGAACTAAACAAACATGTCAGATAATTATTTAATCGGCTCTGATTAAACAACAACTTCCGATTHGATGTGCAAAATGTAGCATCCATGCTAGCTCTGTAAACAAACCAGCCGGCTGATGAGACGTCTCGTCTTTTACTGCGCATGCGTGTCACATCAGTGCTGTGTAGCGTTCACACAGGGGTCTGATGCAGGTCACATTTAAAATGTAATGTGAACGTTCACACCAAAAGATCGGATTTTTTCAAAAAATCACAACTGAGCATTAAGACCTGCAGTGTGAACGTAGCTAAAATTTCTGTAGTGTGATTTTCTAAGCTTTAGACCTGTAGGGCTGCAACTAATGATTATAATAATCGATTAATTGTTCGATCATATTTTCTGATTAATCAATAAATCAGGAAAAAAAAACAAAACAAAAAAGAAAAACATTTTTAATTTTGACCTATTCCAAAATAGAAAATTTGGACGGACAACACAACAACTTGATAATAAAATTTGTTGCCAACACTTTTAATAATTGATTTTATGTATTAGTTGTTGCAGCCCTTATATACCTGGATGAGAAGCCTCACTAGATTCACACCTGAGCACATCATCTACATTTGAACTGACAAAGCGAAACGTCTTCAGCTTCAGAATAGAAGTCCAGTTGTCTGTTTTTTTAAACCATTTCTGGATTGATCATGACCTGGATGGCTGAGAATGTTCTCCCTAGCGTAATACTTACTCATGTCATGATTGACATACTCGATGAAGGAGCCAGAGAATGAGCCACATGCTTAAAACAAAAACAAACAAAAACCCACCACAATCACTAATTAAAAAAAACATTTTGCTTTGATTAAAATTGAATGTGACAAACAGTGCTCATCTGTTTGTTTGCTCAAGTACTGAACAAAGAATACTAACCAATCCGGATTCTGTAGTCCTCTATAAGTTCCGAGGACCATGTAACAGCAGCGTCATACAATTCTTTGGCTTTAGACTGTGAGAAAAATGTAAATCGTCTCAAAAACACCGGACTGGATTAAAACTGTGTCGTGTTCAAGGAGTTCCTACCATCAGCTCATCTGCTTCTTCACAGTCAAACGGTTTCATGGATTTCAAAGCCAAAACAAATCTTCAAGAACAAAAATGATAAAGTCAAACTCAGTCGGATCAGATCATGGAATAAAAAAAACTACAAGCTGTGAGAGTGACTGTATTTCAGTTCGTACCCTTTGTTTCTCTGAGTGTCTATGAAGGCCTGATCGACAAAAATGATGCTCGCTTTCTTGCGTTTCCGGTTCACACTTTTCACCTGCGCAGAAAACACACGTGCTTTAAATTGCTTTGACTCCATCATGCATTGGATTAAACTAAACTGCACAACATTTGTTGAACTTTAAATTGTTTGCCACTCACCCATGCAGGCCAGTGTGGATGATGTCTGAATTTGCACCACACAAACGCTCCCTCTTTCACGGATGTAGGCTCTGAACAAGAAAACGAATGGTCATTAAAACAACGCAAGTACAGAGAAAGTACAAATACATCAAGCACGACGCCTTTTTAGTTTCTCACGTTTATCGTTCCTTGTTAAGAAACTTGGGAACTCTTCCTCTTCGTCATCGCTCTTCTCTTCCTGAAAGGACAAACGCGGCAGCTGCTCTTCATATTGACTCAGCTCTATGGACAGATCTGAAGACAGCAAGGAATCGTCTTCTTGGACGATGGGCTCTGAGAAAGCAATAACACAATAACTGAGTTAGACTTTGTTTACCAAACCTGTATGAACATCTCAGCTGCACTACACGTCCTATAAGCTGTTCTTTAAAGGATCCACGATTAGTTATAACATTAAACTTTAATTGATAAACATTTATTTGAACTGTAAAATAAAAACTGTAAAAATACTGTAGACTGTTTAGTTTTGTAAATTTTTAAAAATATGTTTTAACATGGATGGAGCCATTTTATTTACACACAAAGCATTCTGGGTAAATGATGATGTGGGTAGGTC